GCCTGAGTTCAAAGGTGCCAATATGTTTCCTTTCCACTGTGAATGAGGCTGAATTTATTTCTGATTTTGTCAGTGTAAGCAACCTTTCAAAAAACAGGGTTGTTTGCATTACCACAGGTGCAGCTACACAGGTGGCAGTAGCTGATAGGATTGTGAATTGTTGCTGGGTGAATGGGCTCTGAGCCTTTGTTGGATGAAATACTGCTAATGTTGCTATTGATAGAACTGCACCACAAGAAGTAATTTAACATGGAATACTTAGCAGGACCTCACTAAACTTAGGGAAAATCCTCTGAATGCAAGGTGAAAGTTGCATCATGAATGGTGACTGAATTACACCTTATTTTTCTTCTACTAGAAAAAGCAGTATGAATGAAATGAATGACTTGGTGCAGCTAATGACACAGACACTGAAAATGGACTCTAAGGAGAACTCTGAATACTGTGTAACCTCGACTCCAGCCCCAGAGTTTAAACTTCATAGAAAATATCGAGACACTTTGCTTTTGCATGGAAAATCACCTGGTGAATCAGAGGAATTAAAATTTGAAGAGATTCCTTCAGGTCTGTTGCTCTGTTATTGCTTTAAATGAATGGCTGTCAACTGCTAATAAACAAAGAAAACCTGTGAGTGGGCAACAGAAGACAATTCACTCTTATTTCCTCTCAAGTCTTGACAATGCTTGTAGAAGTAAACATCTTTCTAAATAGCTTTGTGTGCAAAACTGCTCTAGTTGTTGTTTAATTGCCAATGAAAGGAATGTGTAATTGATCTGTGTAATGATTAATGAAGAGAGAAAACAATATGATTTTTCCCCATGTGACTTACAAGCTTCCAAAATGAACACTTGGAGTTGAACATTTTGAAATAAGATTTTTTAGGGCATTCAAATAAGTGATTTGATAGCTGTAAAGCTTTGTGAATTACGGATAAAGCTGAAATTGTACACAAAGCAGGAAACATAGTGGAGGTTTGAGTACAGAAGTTCCTCCTCATTGCAGAATTTGGGCAAGCTTATTTTTTCCTACAGATACAGATGCAAGAATGGAATAACTTTTTGTATTTAAGGTCTGGTTTAGACCTTAAGTATGTATATATATTCTAAAAAGCAAGAAAAATATTGTATTTGCTATGACTGTACTTACTATGCAGCAAGAACAAGTGAAAAAGCTGAGGGTAGGTTTCTGAAGTCTCAGACCCTCTTATGCTTATGTGTTTTAAGTGGTAAGGATTCTGCTTGTCATTAGTCTGGGGATAGGCAAAGCGATGGCAGAACACTGGATTTTACTCTGGTAAGTTGATTCTGCATAGTTAAAGTGAATGAGAGAGTTTGTCTCTGATCAGGCTTGACAGAATATTGAAGGTACAAACTTCAGTGGTATTTTTTTTTCTGCCTGACGTTCTCACTCTTAAATATTGTATAGTGAGCTCCTCCAGCTATTACTACTGTGTGGGATGACAGGGCTACTGCATTTCTAAGCTGAAACTTACTTTAATTAGATGGGATATTTTATTTTCGGAAGGTGTTCCATTCTATGAAAGGAGTGTTGATGATTTCAGTGATTACAAGAGCAAGCTAGTGTTTTCAGTTCAGTTCCTAATTATAAAATGACTGTCTTGTGTTGGCAGCTTCACCTGAGGAGCAAGAGATTCAAAAGCTGTTGAGACACAGGCAGATGGCAGAACTGATGCCATTAGTGTTTCACAGTGATTACACTTTTTTTATATTTGCCATAAGCACAAGTGATTGAATTATTCTTAAAATACTGTGGTGGTGGTGTAGTATTAGAGAATAGTACAACTATTATTTGAATGAAAAGTAATATACTATACAGGAACTACCTAAAACAAAGTTACAGAGACCTATTTGTGCAAAGTGTGTCTGCATTGACTTTGTACTGTCCCATGTCTTAAGAGTTAGCATCCGAGTGTTTCTGTTTCGCCATGTTTGTTGATCATTCTAGATAGCCAGTTTGGATAACTTTATTTCATGCAAATGGTCAGCTGGAATTCTGTGGTAATACAATGTCATCCCATTTCTTCACTGCATAGAATATGAAAATTGACTGTACTGAAAGTCATTATTACTGCACTGATTTTTTTTTTATAGATATATTATCAGTTTCTGACAAGATTAGGAGAATGGTTGAAATCCTGAGATCTGATGTGGTGAAAGGTTTGGGAGTGAAACTTCTTGAGAAGGTGTACAGCATCATGGAAGAAGATGATGAAGTGAAGAGAGAGGTGCATGTCTTTCATATTAAAATTGTTTTATTTCTTTATAAACCTAGATAAATGAGCAGGGTCTTTACTTCCCCCCACCCCTTTTTGTAGCTATTGGTATAGTAGTGCAAATCTTGATTCCAAAAATTATGTAGTCAGCAGCAGCAGAGGGCCTAAGTATATTGGCATTTTCAATCTGAAAAAGTTTGATTCTGAAAGTGGACTACATTCAACCACAAATGCTTCAGAAAGCACAGGAGCTTTAGAATTGTACCATGGTCCCTGAGTTTGTGGAAGATCCAAGGGATGTGAATAATTTTGCTTTGTGGTCTTTCTCCAATAGCGATGTCTTTTGAACTATATTTTTTTGCCTTCACGTTACTTTGCCTGATGCCCCTTATGTCCAAAGTGAGGAACAGTTCTATGTCTGTTCCTAATGGAGGTGAGTGAGCAATACCTCCAGCTCATTTGATTCAAAACTTGGTTACAAATAAAATACTGCATGGGTAAGTATAACCTGTGAAGATGTGATTTATGCTTTAAGTTGTCAGATGGGATTTAGAACTCTCTTCTCTTCAGACAGCAGACTCTTCCAGTTTTCTTCCCTCCCATCTTGTTGTCCTACTTCACATGCTGCTTTCAGTTAAGTGCTTTGGTGTATTTTTTTTTTTTTTGTTACTGTTGTGGTAGTTCCTGCTTTCTTCAATGTCAACAAATTTAGTAGGGTTTTTTTGTGTGTTCTAAATAGCTGCAGTTGCGGGAGCATATGGGAGACAAGTATGTGAGTTACAGTGCGAAGGTACACCATCTGAAATTTCTTGAAGAAAACATGAAGTTTTGACCAGCACTTTTTCCTTCGAGAAAAGGACTGTTTTATAGCTCATTTCAGAGACTGGACCAGCTTACAGAGCACGTTTATCCATTGACTTTGTCAATGTTACAGTTTGTAGTAATATTTTTTCATGTTAAACTGTGAACCATGCTATCACTTTCTCAGAAGAGAAACTGTTTAGTTTTTATTCTCTTAATGAAACTTTAAAGAGTTGCTTTTTATAGCTGCAGAGGGGGATGGGTACCAAGTTTTGTGTACAAAGGAGTGTCAAAAAACAAAAGATACTTTTATTTGAATTTGTCATAGTATATAACCATACCAAAAACCTTTTTCTAAATACAGTAACAAAATCTATGCCAAGGCTATGGTGTCATAGGTTATAAGCTATAAGCATCAAATAGTTGTGAAAATTTAGTGAGCAGAAACACTAATTTTTGTAGCACCAAAAGCTCTCCAGGTTCTCTAAACTGCCATGTTAACATGCTAATGGGGGTGGCTGTACTGCTTTGAAGCAGAGCCTTTGCTTTTGTGTCTTTATTGCCAAGGTAATCACCAAGGTGGTGGAAAGTATTTGGCTACTGGATAAAGTAAGCCTGAAAAGGTTTGAAAGGAACTTAGCCATGGTTACCATGGTCCCAGCTGGAGAAGTCCTTTTGCCTTACAAGTGCCCAAGACCGGGGTCACTTAAAGAAATAGGCATCTTAGCTTTTCCCTTTCTTTGTATCTACATTGTGTTCTTACACATGCCCAGGCATTGTTATGTACCATCACTACAGAAAATGCATGTTTTATTTTTAAAGGATGAAGAAGTCAAAAGGGAATTAAATTTGAAAAATAAAACTTTAAATGCACACCCTGTCTCTTCCCCTGCCTGTGGCTTAAACATTGTAACCTCCAGCACCTATCAGGGAGACTAATACGACAGTAAAAAAGTGCAATACCTGTGGATCCTGCTGCCTCACACATACTAGATGCTCAAATTACAAGGTTTCAAGAGCTACTGTATTATGCAGAGTCAAGATATTCCTTTCTCTACCCAGAAAAAATTATTTTAAACAAAAATCACCACTCTCCAATCTCCTATCCTAGAACACTTTCCAGTTCTTAGCATTTTTCAGAACTGTGGGGTATGTACTGTTTTACAGTACTTCTTACAACCTGACACTACTAATAGCTTGTTTTACACATAGTTAGAAATATTTTAGAAGTCCAGCTGTAATTATCTTTTAGGCTCTGGCAACAGCTTAACTAGACTTGATTTGCTGTGTCCCTTTTTACTAAAATACTTGAGTGAGATGTGACCTCCAGTAGCTGCTTAAAGTTAGTCCCCCCCACCTGCCTTCCCAGTGACTGCACTGAAACTCCAGCCAAAATTTAGAGAGCTCTCTGCAGATGTTGGTGTGCTCATGGTAGTGATAACTGTAAATGTAACAAATGTAACATGTAGGGGATGTTATCACTTCAGGTGGTCAGAAACAAGTCTTGGTTCTTTGTGAATAATTCCGACGGTTGCAAGACAAGGGACTCCTGAATAATCCCTTTAGGCATCTGGGCCTTGGGAGAACAGGTATGCAAGCTACAGAGATAAGGAGGCTGCAGACCCCGCCAGGAGACGCCAAACAAACATGTGCGACGGACATTACCATATATTAATGAATTCTTGGAAAAGCCATTACTATGATAAACATTTCTTGGAAATGTAATTAATATGTATGTTAACATAGCATAAATACCTAGTAACTGTGTCTCTTTGATGCACACGTTTGGAGGAGAGATCCCCCGTGTGCCCAGCGCCGCAATAAAGAATACCTGCTTAATAGTCTGCCGACTATTGAGTCTTCAACTCTGGCTTTTCACGGCATCAGTAGTATACAAAATAGTAAGAAAAAACCCAAACGCTAAGCCAAGAAGTATGCCAGTGGAAATGCATTTAACAAAATTTAACAAAGTACAGCATGAAAAACTACATTTTTTAGCTTTTAGCGTGTCTCTTTGGCTTTCTGTCTGCTGGCTTCTTTTCTTCTGTTCCCGACTCCTGGACAGGCAGCCACTTCAGAGGATTGCGGCGGTACATAGGCCATGGAGGGAGCGTTAGCTTAGAGAGAAGGAAGGAAGTCAGAACATGTAAATCAAGGTGCTACATAAGTGTTTTTTACAGCTTATTAGGAAAATCTCATTCTCTAACTATCATACCAGTTAGCCTTAAGAAAGTTCATACAGTGTCATACTATAGATATATTGCCTACATTGTGGACTGCATAGTCAGGCTTAAGTAAAAATGACTAAAGGATCCCAGCTCATTATGAGGAGGACAACAGCACCCACCCTGAAGAAGAAAAGGCTACCCCCGGACTACCAAGATAACACCAGCTAACGCCTCTGTGAAACTCTCCCATTATCTGGCATCGTAGATAAGGAACTGTAGCAAGACCGACTACAGGGACATTTAGAACAAGGACACCGTGGGTGATGATGCCATAAAATTACAGTGGATTTCAAAACAGTAGTGTGTGTGTTAAGTAGCGATTGGCCAAACCATGTTGTAGCTGAACTTGAAAGCTGTAAGAACCCTGTGTAAAACCGTGTTTGGTGTGCCCCAGCTGGAACGGGACACCTTGTGTGCACGAATAAGGAATTACTTCTGTAATTCTCTACTTTGCATCCTGGCCTCTCTCCCCAGTTAGCATGGGCCAGGTGCAAAATTTTTGTGACAAACTGCTGCTTCACAGAAAGCCTTACTGTCCATTCTGTTATTAGCTTGACTTCAAATAACATTTAATTGAAATTAAAAACTAGTGCAGAAGCAGTATTAAATTGCAGTGTTCTCCAATGTCCCTGCTCATGGCAGGGGCGTTGGAACCAGATGATCTTTAAGGTCCCTTCCAACCCAAACCATTCTATGATTCTATTCTATGATTCTGTAAAATCTTTGAGAAAAGGCACTTACTGGCTTGTAAGGCACTTTCTACAGGACAAAGTACAGATAGGTATTAACAAACTGTATTGCATAGCAAGTATTTATCTGTGCTGCCAGCCCCTTAATTTAAGGATTACTTCAGGTGAAATAGCACATGTATGTTCTGATTTGGGGAAAAAAAATCCTTACCAAACACGATAAAGCAAACCCAGCCATAACTATGTAGACAGTCCAGCCGAACTGTTCAGTGATGTATCCATAGATAAAGCCAATTATCTGCAAAAAAAAGAAGCAGCTAAACAAATATTTCTCAGGCTGTAATTAAGTTGGGGGCGGGAGGAGAAGTAGAAAAAGACAGGTTTTTCAAAAGCACAGTTCTTTCTAACCTTGTTTTCAAAGTTGTAGGCCAACAATGAAAGTAAAAGTTTGAAAGAACAAAAGTCTTACTCCACAGCAGCCCCTCTGATTTTGTCTAAAGCTTTTGGTGATGCAGTTAAGCCAAACAATGAGGAAAAAACGCCTTGTTTGTAAGATCAGAAAATAGTCCTTTACGTTATCGCCCATAGTTCTAGTATACTTACTGCAGAGACAAGAATGATTCCTTGAAAAATCTGTTCTGCTAATTTTTGGCCCTTGTAGTCCTGTGGAAAGAGGTATTTTTTTGTCAGTTACCCAAAACACAAACCTTGCCAGTTAAAGTCTTTCAGGTTAGAGCCTGGAGTCAGCCTGACCACAGGTTCTCAGCTTTTTTATTCAACTTTCAAACAAGACTAGAATGATTTTTCTTGCCATGTCTGGATTGCAAGTGTCAAAGCATTAAGCTCTGAATTCACACCTCCCCTGCAGGCTTGACCACATCTAAAAATAAAAGCAAGTGCTGTCCGTCCAGGGTAAGCCATGGAAGTTCCAAACACCCTTGCAGTTAGATTAATATCACTAAGTGAAAGCCTGGCCACCGCAACAGAGAGAACGGGGGGGGG